GGGGCAAAGCCCCCAGCCCCCATGGTGCCCCCCCCCACTCAACCATTTTGCCCCCCCCCAGTCAAAGTCCCTTTTCTCTAAAATATAAGCAAAACATGGAATTTAGAAGGGAGGTTTGATATTCTAGTAACTGAAATTTGCTTTGTGAATCTTATGTCCTGTCTTTTAACTTTAATGCTAAACATTGTGTTGTAAATACCTTATTAGATTTTAAACATTTTCCAGTGGATTGCATTTCCCAGACCCTATAGATTTGAGTTGTTGGAAGGCTCGGCTAAACAAGTTAGTGACCGCAGGGGGCAACAGGCCCTCAACCAAGTGTTTTATAAGGGGGGCGGATAATTTTGGCCCTCACCAAAAAAAACCAATTAGAAGTATTTGAAATCATATATATATATATATATATATGTTGTTATCAAAATATTGATTACAGATATTTGATTATATATATATATATATATATATATATATATATATATATATATATATATATATATATATATATATATATATATATATATATATCAGGGCCTTTTTTAAGGATTTTCCCGTGGGGGGGGCATTTTTTGAAAAGGGACCTTTCTGTGAGATAATATATTAGAGGGGGATAGCAATGGCTGAAAGCCACGTGTGTGGCAAATATACCACGCATGAATGGGGGGTCTGGGGGTGTACTCCCCCAGAAAATTTTTGAAATTTGACTCCCGTAAATGTCATTTCCTGCATTCTGAGCATCCAAATTTGCTCCAAAATTTATCCTAACTATACTTGTATTTGAAATAAATAAAGGAAGAAACACACAAAAAGTAAAAAAAAATTAACCATCATTTATCATTACTTATTAGAGGAGGATAGCAATGGTCAGGTGTGTGGGGGTGTACTCCCCCAGAAAATTTTTGAAATTTGAACCACGGAAATGCCATTTCCTGCATTCTGAGCATCCAAATTTGCTCTAAAATTTATGCTAACTATAGTTGTATTTGAAATAAAAGATGGAAAAATGCACAAAAAGTAAAAAAGAATATTAACTGTAATTTATCATTACTTATTAGAGGGATAATCCCAAGAAAATTTTTGAAATTTGAAACCGTGAAATGCTATTTTCTGCATTCTGAGCATCCAAAAAAAAAAAAATATTAACAATAATTTATCATGGCTTAGTGGTAAAAAAAGTAACAATTTAAATCGATTTTGTTAAACAAGAACAAAGGATAAAGCCTAAAACTTACTTTCCGTTTATCTATTTGTTAATCTTCGCTGGATTGTTTGTATAATTTTAGGAAAAAGGGACTTTTCCTGGGGGGGGCAAAATGTGATTTCGTGGGGGGGCACAAGGGGGGACTGGGGGGGGCAAATGCCCCCCCAGCTTGTATGTTAAAAAAGGCCCTGATACAAACTATATATGTCTTACGTCATCTACAGGGTGTATAAAAAAAAACTGAACAGATTTGAAATTGCTCTCAATTTCGCAAAACACCTATTTGTATCTGTTTTTTATATATATAGCTTCTTTGGGTACTTATAATGTAAAATGATGAAAAAAATTTCTCGAACTCAAATTTTGTGAACCAGGGGGGGGTGTCTTTTCCAACAAACTAAAAATGGCTCGCGCACAAAATTTAAAAGCTGTAATTATATTTTGAGTTAATAGATGGAAAATATGTCGGGTTTTTAATTACTGTACAAAATTTCAGACAATTTGGTTTAGTTTAAGGAACTATTCATTTTGTTCTAAAAAGTCAGCCTTTCGCATGCTTAATTAATGCCTTTACCTAATTTGCATATTGCTGACATATGCAAATTAGGCAAATGCATTAATTAAGCATGCAAATAGCTGATTTCAGTTCGGGAAAATTGTAACTTTGCGTGAATAGTTAAGGGGCTTAAACTAAACCAAATTGTCTGAAATTTTGTACAGTAATTAAAATCCCGACAAATTTTCCATCTGTTAACTCAAAATATGATTGCAGCTTTTAAATTTTGTGCGCGAGCCATTTATAGTTTGTTGGAAAAGACACACCCCCCTGGTTCACAAAATTTGAGTTCGAGAAATTTTTTTCATTATTTTACATTATAAGTACCCAAAGAAGCTATATATATAAAAAAACAGATACAAATAGCTGTTTTGCGAAATTGAGAGCAATTTTAAATCTGTTCAGTTTTTTTTTATACACCCTGTATAACGACTCTGAATGCCATACGCCAAAATTATCTACGTTTTTGGCTTTTTAACCATCATCTGCCGGAGCGCCAGTCAGTTTTGCCAGCCGCCAGTGGAAACTAAATCGCTGCCAAGTTCCTTTCAAACCATATCATATACTGAACTTAAACTAAGCGTACTGCTTTGTTTCGGAGAATTAAAACAGAAATTACTTTGACGCAAAAGAAAATGCTGAAATATATTGCGATTTACGATTAAGTTAAAATTGCAATTCTATGTAGACCATGCATGCTTTTGCGTTCAAACTGGTTTGTTGTTATGCGACCTTTGTCTTGCATATGAAAGATTTATTACTGTATATACGAAATATGAGTGTCATTGTTTGACTTATTGCAAATCTAGCCTATATATGGGGTAGGAAAAACTACACTGGTGGCGCAAAAAAGTTCTCCTGTTTGATTTAGTATAACTCATAACCGAAAAGAGCTATTACATTTAAATAAGGTGCATTGCGTTCAGTGATGTCTAACTTAAATTTTGATATACGCCGTGTGCGGTGTGGATTTTCATGCGATATTGACCAAGATAGCATCCTCGTCCCCAGGGCAACGCTCGTTCCAAGATAGTTGCGTTTAAACTTGAGCATATATTTCTGGAAGTGTCTACAGCCTGAATTTTAGGACCAAGAATGTCAACTAATAAGCATAGAGAGTATTTTAATGCATTCGATACAGTGACAACTATATATATAAACCCGTGCAACCTCGCAAGCCATCAGTTTTCCCGCTTCAACGCAACACGCTGAGGAGAGACCAAAGTAAAATAGCCTGGCTTGTGAGCGTGCCTAACAATATTTATCTTGTGTGTAATTATTGCGATAAGTCAAAGCTTCGGATTGATAGGGATGCAACCACGGATGCAATGAGGGCCGGAGGGGGTGAGCAACAGAAATATCTCAATATAAAAAATGTTCAGGACAATATATTTTTCATTCTCTCAAATATTTTAGTATCAAACTTATCTCACATTTACCTGAAATATATTACCCACAATTATTGGGGTGTGACAACCCCCCCCCCCCCCGTGCCTGAAAAATACAAGTGAATTTTTCAGGCAGTTGCATCCCTATTAATACGACGCTTTCGTATTGATACTAGTTGTACTAGCTGTTCTTGGGTTTCATATGACGTCACAAAAGTGACGGGGGGTCAACTCTAAAACAAAACACAGTTATCAGAGTGAGTAGATTGTTCGTTTTATATATTAGCCTTGTGTTTGGTGCCAAAAACGTGGAATTTTGTATCATTTTCTCACCCCAGTATAGCATAAGCATCAATACATTTGAGGTCGACCCCCCGTCAGATTCACTGCACAATGCCGTAGTGAAACCCAAGAATACCGCTGACACAGACTGTTCTTATTTTAAGTCACACTTTTACTTATACAAAGTTTCTTTCAATTGTGTTTCTGACAAGCAACAGCAGCAACAAGTGCGGCACCTTTACCAGAACCATCTTCCGAGAGCATCAGTTTTATATGTTTCCCTGGAAGTAGTTCTCCTAGTGTGCTCTCCATGTACGTTTTGAACTTGGGATGTTTCTTAAACAGAGAACCATCGACAGCAATCGTGCAATGAGATCTTCCAATTTTCTATGAAAAAAACAGACAGTTTTAAAATAATGCTGCTAGCCTCGACATTTCTTGATTTATAGCTATTTCTTGGTTGTATTCCAACAGTCGTATGAGCAAGGATGGAAAAGTAATCCTGTGACCACGGCGTGAAAATAACAATTTCCCACCGACCTGTACAGTGTACGTTTGTACTAAATAATTAGTCCGAATATTTTTAATAGTTGAACGCACGCGCCTAGCCTTTTTAAGCATTTGCTCAAATTTTTATCTAACACCTAATACATTTCTGCGAGTAGCGCTTGCGAGTTCGACTATCAAGTTTTCGCCCCTGCGTGAGAGGATATCCCATATAGCGATGAGAGACAGCAATTTATGCTCAAGTTTTCCGAAAAGAAATTTTATTAACCTTCACTATAGCAGCAAGACCAGCAGCAGCCAAACACGCAGCTCTTTCTGACATCACTTGACAAATCTGTTTCAGTACTTCAATGTCCCCATCTGAAGGCTGCGTGTAACCAAGATCTTCTAAGACTTTCAATGTTCGCTCACGATTTCCACTGAAAAGAGAAAACACACAGATCAATTAAGAAACAAGATAATACGATGTGAAAAACGTGTTTTATAGCTCGTTCTAATTGTGTTGCAATTCATTCTAATTTCTTTTCTAATTTATTCTTATTGTATTCATAAGAAATCTCACCTTTCCACATCAGAGACAAACTTTGTTAAAAATTCCTCTCGTTTCCCAAGCTTCTCTGTACATACACCACCAAACAATAAACCTTTCGATGTCAAATGAACACAGACAAGGCGGACGATCTCGCCAAGATACATACCAGAAATCATTTTCTCAAATCTAGGTTAGAATTTTTTTAATAGTAACATAAAACAATTTCCAACACGCATATTTTGCCAGGACGTACTATACAACTGTTGTGGATCTAAGTTCAAATTACAAAAAATCCATCAGAATGGTATAAATACCAGCTGAAATCTGGGTCTTTGATCCAATACACCCTTCTGGAAAGTATGTCACTTTGGCTATAGTCTTATAGAGCCTCGTTTTCGTAAGTGAGAGGGTTGGACTCGCATATACGAAAACGAGGCTCTATAGCCAAATGACATACTTTCCGGAAGGGTGTATTGAAACTTTTTTCCATTAGAAATTCACTGGATTCAGATAATTCCTTTTGGCATTCCAATTGCATTAGTATAATGTGATGGTTGTTACTTGTACATATAACAATTCTATATTAATACATGACAGGATAAAATGCTCATTTTCTTACATCTGCTGTCCTGGATTTAACGAATTCTCATCAACCTGCTTATCATACTCAGATCTGACCCAATCTAAGGAGCCATTATCTCCAAAAGCCCCCCATTCTGTATTTATTATAACTTGTTTGGGTTCATCAATCTGGCCTGTCCATTTCCCGACATTTTCCAGACTTTCCATATAGCAAGCATTCGTGCCTGTGCCAAGGATTAACCCAATTGTTACGTCCTGGTCTTCCCAGCCACAAGACATCAGCGTGCCAGTTGTATCATTTACCAAACCAACAATGTTAATTGAGTATTCCTGTGGATGATGAATAGATAGATATTGTTCAATATAATTTTACATTGCAGCCTATGGCTGAATTGCATATAATTTGCAAATTACATGTATACAAAATAGTTACAGTGGGTGGTATATATGTCTGATTAATAGATCTAAATGCAAGGCTCGTTTAAGTGTGCTTATAGAAGTTAATATAAGTTTGTAAAATGTTAAAAATACATAGTATAGTTCATACCTGCTTCTTTGAAATGAAAAGGAGGGGGCAAGTTGGTGTCATGGGGGTGCCACTCAGGTTAATTTATTATATTGAGCTCTATATCTTGGAAACACATCTACCATTCTAGTTTCAGTTTTCATACAAAAAATACAGCATTCATTTCAATTGTTTTTAACTTAATATTATCCTCCACTCACCTTCTTGCGATCAAGTGCTTCTTTAAGAAGAACAACCACATCTTGATTCTCAACACCAGTTGCTGTAAACCCTTTGGTCCACTTTATCAAGATACCAGATGTCAAACTCAACATTTTAACAGGGAATGAAAATGTAAATCCCAAAGGAAGTACTTTATCTTGTACATTTTTCTCTTTAACAAAACTAATAATACAATCTGCAATATAATCAAACAATGTCTCAGCGTCACTTGTCATCAGTTCCTTGCTCATGGGCATAACACGACTGTCCATCGTAATTTGATCTGGTTCAATGTGGATTAACAAAACTCGAAAGTTGGTTCCGCCAAGGTCAAGTGCTAAGAAGTCGCCAGTCTCAGCACCTGTAGGTGTGTTTCGAACAAACGTGATTAACATGGGCACTGAAGATTTCCGTCTTGTTTCTTCGTCCCCTGAAAGTCCATTTTCCATATCGGCGGTGATCAATTCCATTTCTTTGATGAGGTCATCTCTTGATAATTTGAGTTTTTCCAATTGTCCCTCAACCTAGGAATCAGTGACGTACATTTAGGCGTTTTTAATCCCGTGTATATTCAACAGGATGTTTATCGATTATTCAGGAAGTTATTAAATTTTCAAATAACTCAAATGAATTAGTAGAAAATATAGATGCAACCCTGTTTCAAGTCTTCACCCAGCCTTGCTGGTTGTGGGTGTCATTTGGAATTTGAAGATCGAGGCTAGTTCTGACGGCGACCTCTTGCCAACCGCTTATGAAAGTATTCCATGTATCGAAAATGAAACAAACCAACCATATGCTACTTCCATGCACTTAAATATCACCTACAGTAAGTACTCAATGTATATAAGTTGAGATTGTAATTGTTCAAGATAAATTTCATCATTCAATTTCAATTCACACAAACACTAGGTTTTGATATCATATTTATATGTAAACAAACAAAACATCAGTTTTCACAAGTCTACGTATGTCATATATTTATAGACTAAATCATTTCAGTGAAGTATATAAATGCAACAATTTACCTATCACATGAAGAGTTCTAATTAACTACAAGCAGTTTTTAAAATTAGAAAGCTATATGTATAAAGAACAAGCAAAGGGGACAATATGTTTATAGAATGCAGAAAGTGAAAATTAGTTAAGCCTGCTATTCTAAGACCTTTGATATAGTTCTGTCGATAAATCTATTATGCATAAGGCATAGCTAATGCAGTTATATAACTGTATCATAAAGTATCAAAAGCTGTAACATTTTATGACTATTATAGTATTATTGGTGTTCTGAATTCACTACTGCACTCCGGACAGTAAATTAGTGAGTTCACTTACGGCATTCTTGTCCATATTTGCTGGTAAATACTTCCCCCTTGACGATAACTTGACTACACAGACTTGTGTGGAAATATCTGACAAGCTAAATTGTCCCTAAAGTGCTTCCTTGCAAGTAATTTATTCATACGTTCATTGTTTTGAAAGGTGGTCTAATCACACTTATCTCATAAATATTCCCGCAATAAACGACAAAGCGCGCAGAATTTGTTAATTGCTGACATAGTTAAAGTCTGTGACTAAATCGAAGTAAACAGACTATTTAAACAACAAGTTTTGTTTCGGAAGTTGTAGTTTACAAATAAAGTTTGCTTCTTGCGGGCCTAATTGCGGCAGACTTGCGTAAGGCTTTATATCACAACATAGTCATAGATATAACCACGGTTAATAGAGATGTAACTTACTGTTATTCCGCCAGTGAAGTAGGATCGAACAGCACGAGTTATATTTGCACCAAAATGAGCTACGCTCTGGCTTCCAAGCATCTTGCACAACGTTTATTTTCAACCTGAAATCAATGACTCTAAATAGTGTGGGATCAGTGGGAAGGATGTTATTAGCAGTGCTCTCACAATCAAATTTTCGAATTCCTTAGAAAAAGCTCGAAAATTCCTCAGATTTCCTTAAAATTCCTTAAATTGGTAAAATTACTACAAGGCCTGATCACAGAGTTGCAAAAAGTGTTTTTTTCACCTGATTTACCTGAATTTTTCGAACTGAACGTTCTTTAAAATCATTTTTTTTGAAAATTTGAAGGTTCTAGACCGTCGGAAATGGCATTTTTAGAGTCTTTCCTACCCAATATTTTAGTATTGCCTAACAATGAAGATAAGTATTGCTACTTTCAGTTTATAATGAAAATTGAGAAAATTTTGGAAATTTGGAGTCTCCAGATCGTCAGAAAGGGTATTTCGCAATTGTCTCCCTGCCACAACACGTCTCAACGTCTTTATAAGTTTGTTTGATTGTTAACTCCAATTCAGATTAGAGAGTTCACTTTTTTATGCCCTGAGAATTACCTGAATTTACCTGAAAATCTTTACCTTTTTTACTGAATTAAGATTACAATGCCTCCTCTAGTGTTATTTATAATCTCTATGACCCTAACGCCAACCCAGTAACCACCCTAACCCTAACCCCAGTAACCAAAGTGTTGATTTGAGGAAAAATATTAGAAATTAGTTTGTGCTTTCAGAACAGTCGGGCTACGTAAACAGAAAGTCAAAAAAGAAAAGAAAAGTTTGGCAATATATCCAAGAATACGAAAGCTAGGTGGGGATTTCAGTCTTGAAGACCAAAGTCTGAAATCCGACGTCTGAAGTCCGAAGCCTGATTAGGAAATTTAGACTTTTTCCTTTTCCAGAAACTTTTTCATTACATGGAATTTTATTTGACAAAGTGGAAGCAGACATGTGAATTCAGCATATGGAACATTTCTGATCGAACATTTTCAAAATTTTCTGACGTCTTGTTTGCAAATTATGAGTGAAAATGATGACAATCAGCAGAAAGATAATAGTAGCGAATCAACGACTTTATCAAACTTTTTAAAAGTGAGAAAATACAGCGGTGAAATTTCAGATTTTGTTGACTCTACACCAGACTGTTCTGTCATGGATCTGCTGGTGAAGCAAGCAATTGAGAGCGAAAGTGGACAAAATAATGTCTTGGCATTTTCAGCAACCACAAAAGATGCATCTGCATACTTCCAACAACTCGAAGAACAATTTATTGCGCTTAAAACATTCATAGCTGGTACAAATCCGGCGTACAAGCAGGAGCTGATCGGTCTAAAGTTTCCATTATTTGTCAACATCTATCTGGAGTTAGTTGAAAAATCCCAGGATAAAAAATCAATGTTGTTTTACAATCAACATGTTGGGGATTTTTTAACTGAACATAAGGAAGAACTACAACATCTACGAGGTATCACAGGACCTGAAAAATTGAGCACCAGCGACATTGCAGCGAATTTTCGTAAAAGCAAATTTGTTTATAAACTATCACATAAAGTGTTTATTAATTTGTTGCAGTTTTTAAGCAGTCAGAGCAGATCAATTTTGCTTCATTTTATTGACAAGAATATCCACTTGGATATAAATAATGTTCGGACATCCTTGTTAGAAACTTATACGGAGAGAATAGGAGGTGAAAAAGATAAAGCAAATGACAACAAAGGATCAGACAATTGTGGTGTTCCAGCAGAACTGATGGATGCAATTAAAGCAATGAAAGATGAACCACCGAATTTACCAACAGTTATATTGCATAGTGTAACAAACAGTCAACATGGGTAAGATATATACAATCAATGCTATGAAGAATAGACTCATCTCATTCAACATGCTCCCCCTGACCCTTATGACCTCCCTGAATGACCTGACCCTTACTCTAAATGTAGCTCAAAATTATTATGAACTTGGTCAACGTCCAACCATGACCATGGGTTGATAACCACACCCCCCCCCCCCCCCCCCAATATTTCTTAAAGTCAATAAATTTCTTAAAGTCAATATTTCTTAAAGTCAATGTTTTATATGTCAACTCATCAACTCAACACATCAACCAAATTGGTTAACCTTGGTTGTATATTTCTCTTAATCTTTTCAAAGAGTTACCTCGGCAGTAATTTCCAACGATGGTCAACTAATGTGTGCTGGTTTTGAAGATTCTGCTGTGCGTTTGTGGAGTTTAACACCCAAGAAACTAGTTGTGAATGAAGCAAGCTTTCGAGAACTGTCACAAATCAATCTGGGCACGGGTGAGTGCACTCTTTAAGTGTATTTCAACTTTTGTTAGTTTTTGCATTATTTTATTCATTACCAGACTACCAATGCTCTAACCAACTGAGCTACTGAGCAAAAAAGAGTCAAAATCTTTTGTTTTATTTTTTGTATAGAAGTAGCTGGTGATGACGATATTGCCAAGACATCAAGCGAGACGCTAACTTTACGAGCACACAGTGGTCCAGTTTACAGTGTTTGTTTCTCCCAAGATAACAGTTTTATGCTGTCTGCTTCAGAAGATCTAAGTGGTATGAATTTTATGGTAGAGTATTAAAAATAGGTACATAGCGTACATATTCTATGTTGGCACATGTTGTCAGTGAGCATCATTTTGGTTGGTTCTAATGTTTATTTGCATAAGTAATAGTATGATTTTGATTGTAATTTGGGAAAAAAACCATGCACGAGTGAGTTTTTAAATTTAATGAAACTGACTCTACAATATCTTTACTATCTCTGTATTTAGTGAGATTATGGACAATGAATTCTTACACAAACCGAGTGTCGTATATCGGACATAACTATCCAGTATGGCATGTAGATCTTAGTAACTTGGATGTCTACTTTGTATCTGCCTCGATGGACCAGACTGCCCGTCTTTGGAATTTGGAATATAATTATCCGTTGAGGATTTTTGCTGGCCACACATCAAGTGTGGATGTAAGTATACATCACCTAGAGCTGTTGAAATATTAAAGCCTCAAGACTTCCCCCTGGATATAGGTAACTTATTAAGTTCCGCAGAATTGAAATACTCAATGGGGGCCATCATGGTAATCAAGGCACAGTGGCAGATGTTTAGTAACCAGTATGTCAGTAACTTTTTAGCCTTAAAATTTATGCAGTATTTAACTTAATTTATAGCCTACCAATGCTTTCATGGTTGAAAAATTACTGTTACAACTTTGTTACACAGTTATTCAGCTATCATTCAAAGGCTTTCAGAACTTATTCGGGGGAGGGTGGTTAACCCCCCCCCCCCCCCCCCCCCCCCCC